CGTAATAAGATACGACGTAGCGATCGGGAACCCTGGACAGTTTTAATATTTTTACGATTGACATTTGTCAATATATATGATGGACATATATTTTAGTTATTTTAAAGTGAAGACAAGGCATACAATGTACTAGTTTGACGTGAATTGAGTAGCACCTGAAGATGGCATTCTTATGCCGAAACATGTAGTGAAAGTGAAAGAAGAAGATAGATAAGTGTATGCACTGCAAGACGGAATAAACAAATCATGAAATCAATTAGCTCTAAAAGTTGAGGGGCCTCACTTTGTGGCTATGGGGGCCGCAAGTTTGACACGGCTGTTTTACACCCTTTCCTTCTTTCAACCTTTCTATTCCTTCCATTCTTTCAAATTTCGTTTCTTTCTTTTCCATTTATTTTTAATTTATTATATTTGTATTTTTTCTAATATCCTACTCTCCATTTTCTCCCTTAATTTTCTTTATGCTGTTTCCTTTTTTCGCTTTTTCTTTCCTCCTTTCTTCTAAGAATCAGTCGTGCATATAAAGCGCCTATATTCCGATTTAAACACTTGAGAGTTGCTGCCAGGTTCAGAAGCTTACACGTGCTTACCAGAATAGAAAGAGAAGGCATTCTTACGCTTACCGAATATATGATTTAGTGAAACAGTTGTCGCGTAACTGGAATATTGTCAATGTCTCGAGCACTACATATTGAACAATCGGGAGTTTTCTTGGAACTGTACAATATAACCCATACTTCACTTGAAAGGCATATAGAATATTACCTGTTTTGTAAAAGAAAGTCTCTTCTTGCATGATATAAACATACGTGTCTTCGAGAAACCAAACTTTACGCGAAACATTTTTTTCAATATGAAGATCATTTAACGAAACACAAGGAAAATAATTCCTGACTCTTCTCTCTGAGCCTGCGTTCACCGTAAATGGGTAACCAAATGAATAAGAGAGAACATATTTGGTAATCATGAGTGGCTACAGACGGTGTTTGGATTGGCAACAGGATTTATTGAACACTTATACACACAACTCGTAACCACAAGTAACTACAACAGCCACAATGGCTCACACAATCTATAGATCACTGCAACTACAGCATACATAAATTCTTCTGTCTTCACTAGCTGCTTCCTGGTAATGAATCCTAACAAGGTCTTCTGCTTAAGTCCTTACCGGCTGACGAATATCACTCAACTGACTCACCGTTCCAACTGTCTAACTCCCAGACTGGCGGCCATCTCACACCAACCTTCTACTCTTCTTTTCACTGACTAACTGCAGCTCACGACTTGTCCCGCTTATAACATCTTGGCACGGACCGCACAGAAAACAACTTTCCATTGTTGTAGTTCAATCGTTTCCTTTGGAACATGTTTCTTTGCGAAGTCGTTACTCGGTAACGGCTCTTGTATAAGTGCTTTTGTCGAGGTCATTGCCCAGCAATGGATCTACGTGCGTACCTCAATGGAGTGAAGTTTCCGGCTATCGAATGTCACGGTAAAGTGATTAGTAATTCTCCTTCGTATACTGGAGGTGCAGGGTTCAAATCTTGGTCCGGAGCTTGGTCAGCGTGACAGGGTTTTCGTGATTTTTCTCAGTCCATGGCCGCTTTCATCTACATCCTTTCCAACTCACTATTCACTACCTATGTATCGTGCCATTCAGAATTACATAAACCGAATTGCTGACCGCGTCATTAAATAAACAGCACATATATAAAAAGATCCACATTATTGCTAGCATAACAATAAGACAGAAGCCAGAGACTCACCAGGAAGAAGCATCCCCTCGATACTCGGTGGCACTCCCTAATCTCGTGAAGATGGTCCTCAAACAGCAGAGCATCGTAGGAAGGGTCAGCTTCGGTGCCATAGTGCATGTCCACCATTTCCACCTACACACAAGAATGTCAGGTTGCGTCATAATCACTCTGCGTGGACTTAATGGTGATGAATGTAGACTGAAATATTCTGGGTTCGGTCTTCAGATATACAATGTACACCAAAAATAAAAATAATCTGACAACGAGGGCCCGGATTTTGATGACCTGAAAATATTAAAAAAATGACCTATAAAATGACCCCAAAAAAATCCAGAAAAATGACCTAAAGGAGAAAAGAAAGAACACTTCGCTTACATGTTATTCACATTTCAGAAAACATATGAAGAAAAAATCCCTAAAATGGCCAAAAATTACAAGAAATACCCTTAAAAGTCCAAAAATTTATAAAAAAATTACCCCCAAAATGAAAAAATGACCTTAAATCTTAAAATGTCAAAAAATGACAAAAAAATTATAAATAAAATTTACATTTCTGTAACCAGCAGCTCGTATCAGAGATTTATATATTTAAGAGCATTGCATAGGATACAAGGAAATAAAGAAGATGACATGTCATCAAAATTTGGGCCCTGGTGATCACTAATCACGAGACGAAATTAATATAAACAAGAAGCTCTGGAGATAACAATCTGCCTACGTTCCTCTGACTCGACTCAGACCGCATAGAAAACGACGTCTACAATAATTCCTCGTTACAGCGGGAAGAAGCTTACCGAGCTGTTGCCTAGCAACGTTAATATATATATATATATATATATATGAATACAAAGACTGATGAGAGGGATTTAAGAAGTACGCCGTTGAGGACTCAAGTGCCGTAATATACATACCAAGTTTCATAAAGTTCGGTTCAAGCATTCGAAAGTTAACTGGGTGGGGGGGTTCACAGACATAGAGATAAGACAGAGACCGCATAAACCCACTTTTATTTTATAAAAATTAGGAAAGTAAGCTAAAACTCCATAAACGTCATGTGTATTAAAATGCCTAAGCCAGTGAAACTGCCCAATTATTTAAGTTTCACAAACCTTAGAGAATAACCAGCTTATAAAGAGACACTCGATTTCTTGCAATCTTTTGTTTAAAATGTTTCGATGCTATGGACGAGAAATGTCATTATCAAACACCCTCCCTTTCTGCCAGTGAAAATTTTCGGAATATACTCGTAGTAATGCAGGGTCTAGAGAGGAGGGGTAAGAGCCCTAAAATGAGGGCTAAGAAAAATAATGAATCAATAAAATGTGTACGGGAAGTAAAGAGACATGTATCTGTTTTCTTTCTGTTTTTCGTTGATTCATTTCCGTTGAAATTCCCATCCCAGCTCTCGTGTCTTCTCCAGCACATTCTGCTATTCAATTAAAATTTCAAGGTAAAAATGTAGATGCAGGAATACTTTTGTTTTATAAATAAAATAAAGTTGTTAAAGGAGTTAATTCTCTTAGGCCCAACGTCGTAAATGTCGTCTTCTTCTTCTTCCTGTATTCCTGTCGCTCCCAGTTTGGAGCATAGGGCATCAGTGAAATGTTTGTTTCACTTCAGATTCTTAATCATATACACAGACGGTAGGACTCCTTGGACGGGAGATCAGCCCGTCGCAAGGCCTCTACTTATACACAGAACAACAGAAACACAGAATAAACGCACATAGACATCCATGCCTCGAGTGGGATACGAACCCACGATCCCAGTGTCCGAGCGGGCGAAGACGGTTCATACCTTAGACCGCACGGCCACTGTGATCGGCGCCGTAAATTTATTACATGAGAATCAAGACACAGTTGCATGTGCCATGAACCGAGGTATACGAGTATTTCTAGTTTCTCGCCACCAAAGTCTTCCTAACTATGCGAATGGTACTTGATCATTGACTGATACGTCAGAAGAGTCAACAGAACTAGGAGATCTGAATTCCGGGATATCCAAGGACGTTTTCCGTCAGTTTGATCAAGAAAAGCTAACGATGAAGATAAAACAGCCCACTTTATATGAAATGATGGATAATTAGTTGTCTTAGACAACTAATTATTTACTTATTTACCGATAGAAATCTGGGGTAACTGTAAGTAAATTGGAAGCCTACGAGATAGACGACCGGATTTCAGTTCCCGGCACGAAAAAGAATTGTTTCCACTGTCACAACCGGGTAAGATCTAGGGCCCAATCCCATGCCTAAGGTATAAAGCTGGAAAGGCTTAAAAACAAATCACCAGTGCCTATTTTGGAGTTTCAACTTCCCACCACCCTTTGCGGTTATATGGTATAGTACTGAGGCAAAGTGCTAAGAGTAAAAGTAAGTAAAGCTATCCCTGTAACAGGCCGTGGAGGCCCATAGGGTTGCGAGACGTTGAGGGTCCCACATTTTCTAGACAATCGGCTCAAAGATGGCGGTAAGCCCTTAATATTTATTCATGCCATTAAATAGTTATGTCTATTGGTCACGATAAATAGTAAATATTTTGAATTTATAATTAAGGAAGTACTGCTTTTTCTATTTATCTTTACCATTCCGGAGGCTTGAAGAAATTACCGAACTCCTATTTTCGATAACCATAAGTGACTCTATGGACATTCAAGCGCACTAGGTGTATGTACATATGTACGCAGATTGAATTATCCTTACAGTTATAGGATCAAACCTTTAAGAACTAAATTTTTCTGAAAGGGAGAGCTGGAAAGTAGAATGGAAGAGTACGTTCAGGTGAAAAGTGATAGACATTCTATTGCGGAAAGGGAGAAAGAGCATCGTTTCGATAGAATTTTCCCAGGCTTCGCCAGCTTATCCCTTTGATTAGAAGAGGGTGAAAATGAAGATACTGAGATAGTTAAAAACAGAGCCTTGACACCGTGGTGGCGGAATTTTGATTTTTTGATTTAATGCTGAACTGCATAATTTGGGAAAAAGATATTTTGCTGGCTTCGAGAGCAACGTAACAATGCAATTCATACCTCATAGAGGGGAAAATTACATCTCGACTACAAAGCCCAACCGGCTAACGACGTTTAGGGATACAATCGCTGTGTACTGTTTGAGCTTTAGGAAACAGATAAATACGTTATGTGGACAGAATGCATGTTAAAGTAGGTGGTACATATAGAGATCACAGGGCTTTAATGAGTTGCGTTTTTTATTTCAAGTCAAAGTCACATTGCAACTGACGGTCAGTCAGTAAGTAAATCTTGGTGTCGAGCCCCATCTTGGGCTCATGACCAGGTATTAATTATTACCCTTTGGCAGTTACGGTCTTGTTTCTGTAGGGCGCCATCTCTGACGAGAGGACGGGTCTGTCTTTTGTATATGCTGCTGGCCCTTTCCAGCCCAGTCTTTCTCGGGTCAGAGTCTCTTCGGACTCGCGACCATATTTTACTGTCTCAGATTTTATACTTCCGTTTTCGTCGCCTCCTGCGACTCGCAGGGTCACGATGGAGGTATTCAACCCCGCCTCCACATGGGGTACATATTATTTATTTTGTTTTGCATCGACACCATTTCATTATAATTGTTTCATTGTTTAATCCATAACTGACCAGCACGCAACCCAGTTTCGGTTACAGACACGATCAGTGCTTCATTATGTGGAGTAACATTACTTCAATTCTACTATAAATAAACTCCGTCAAGTATTTATTGCGCTAGACTGAATTGCCTGCCTCCACCTGCAGTCTGAAAACGCCCGAGGTTCGTGTCCTACATCCGGTGTACTACGAAACCAATCCAGGCATAACGGAACTTTTCTAATTTATAACGTAGTTCGAAATATTTAACAGTAGTTCTCAACTCGTGGTACGTGATATACTTGACATTTTGTGAGCTCTGTGGTTCTTGTTCCGGTGACTATGAAGGATATGACGCCGTGTAGTCTCGTAAATGTTTACCTACGTTTCGGAGGATCTCAAAGTCTCACTCTTCAGGGCAGAAAAGTTTAATTTTCAATACAGAAGAACTCTTTCTTCTTAAGATGGAAATAGCATGTTCCTCCGAAACGTCGGTAAAAGTCTATGAGGCTACATGATGTAACATCTCAGAAGAGAGCAATCGTCAGCTGAAACCTTGTTTAGCTCTGTTTTGTCATCTCAACGGCCAGTTTGTCTGCCTCTTCGTAAAATTTTCATTGTCCAGGTAGTTTTCCTTTTTCTCGTAGACCAATTTGTTGCATACTGCGCTTTTTACCACTTTAACATTTTCTTTTTCTGACACTATTGTCATTTATTACTCGTTTATAATATTTTATTACTCTGCTACATTATTCTATGGATTACAATGAAATTACAAAAATTATACCAGTAAGGGTTACAGCGGATTCATTTCCTCCGTGGCCTTCCACAAGCGAACTATACCGACCGAGCGACCGCATCTTGTCGGCAAATTTAGTGCCAACCTTTGCGGATAGAGGGTGTCGTGTGATCAGCGCAACGGATTCCCACGGCCTTTGTTGTCGGTTTTCTTTACTGGATTACAACAAATTAAGGCGAACAACAACGAAGATCTGTTTATGCTTGCCTTGTATATTAGTATGCTGCCACATGGAACACATGTTAGTACACTGCAAGGCCGTGCCATACTCCAGGCGATTAGTTGCCGGCTGCCACCGCGGTCGCCCGGGTTCGAACTTAGGTCAGGTCATGGGTGATTTATGGTGGACAAAGTGGCACTGGGGCAGGTTTTGAGCCGATCTCTTCGGCTCATTGGATGTAGTGCCCTCTCTGAGCGACGGTGGCCTAGGCTCCCACCATTTGTTTTCCTACATTCCTTACCACTTATCCTTAGTCCGTGGCGCATCTTACGTCATCACCCCCTGTCTTTCCTGATTCGGCTGAGGTAGAAGTTCTCTTCTGCCTGGAACGTCGTAGCGAACGGACGTGTCGCTCCGTAACAAAATTCTGTTTAGGCCGGCGCCTTGAAAAGAATTGGTTTGGCAGTAGACTCCAGGCAGGAGGGCCCATCTCCAGGTAATACACATAATGTTGCTATTTCATTGTTGATTCTTGGAAGGACTCTGTGAGGCGAGAGTCTGTATGTTTTGCTTTCCTTTGTATTGTGTGCCAAGGCGATT